AGACAATCTTCGAACCGAAACTATGGGAAGGTGGTTTAACCCGCTACATATTTGGAATTAGTAATAAAAGCTCGATGACGTACAAAGTAATCATCAGTTAGCTTGAACACTACAAATTTGTAAATATGTTTTATTTTGAAATATCCACGAGGCATTTATTCACTTTTTATATCACTTACCCTAATTATATTTGTTACTGTTTTTCCTTGATGGTGTATGATTTTCCAAAGACAAATATGAACGCGTGACAATAGTTTATTTTAGCACTGCACAGACTAGAGTACCAGCAGCCGTATGAAAGTAAGAGAAAAATGCTAACATAAACACGAATGAAAGCGCGAGTGAATAAATAAAAATGAAGAAGCACACATATACAAGGGTTAGCTAACTCAGAGCACACTAATTGTCACTAGATACGTGTAGTGTCAATGAAATGTCACAGAGTCCTAGTTAAACCATCTAGCAGTGGGATCTGTAAAAGTAAAAAGGTTTAACTATCCCAGTCAACGTTGAGGACAGCTAACGCAAATTCATCACTTATAGCATTCACGAACAGTGTCATGCGGCAGTCGTTGCGTCTTGTACTCTAGGCAACTATTAATGCTAATGGGATAAACGTTACCTGTGTTGACTCAAAAGCAACATGAAGCATCAGTAAGAAGTGAAACATCTGGCAGCAGAAGATTGAAATTAGAAGGACAGGAGGGAAATCGGAGAGCAATCGAAATAACGACAGAACGCGATGAATGGTGGGGTATGTAAGGGATAACGCAAAGAAAATGTGCAAATGATGTATTTAATGTATGGTTTCCATTATTTGCTAAACCACTGTGCAATATTCCTTCGAATATTAACTTGGCTTTCCCTACCTGGGCTCTCGTTTGCTACACTAGTACATGCTATTGCTCAATGGGAGTATCTATCCTATTATTAAGACAGCATAATGAGAGTTACGTATTATCAAAAAATTAGACATTAGGGTAAACTTGAACGTCCCACTATGTCACTTGAAGTCGAGGGGACGCAAAACCGTCGACAACCGAGAACTAAGTTAGTAATCTACATTAGTGAACAAGAATTTAAATTACTCAATCTGCGATGAGTATTAAATTTATTTTTACTTTCCTAACAGATTTTCTCCACTATCTTCACTGCAGTTGCTTACTAATTACTGCTAATTTTAAGTGTCATATTTTAACGACAATTAGTATTCAAAATCAATTAACTAGCTCAGTCGATAAACATAACATAATTCTCGATATGTAGACAATCCTTTGAAAGTGTCTTCTAAATCTTTCATTTCTAACTCCTGGTTTGACTGGGTTCGGTGCCCTCGATTATAAAGCTTTTTACTGGAAACAAATATCCGTGAAATCTCTAGGTTGCTGGAACTTACCTATTTTTAGCGGGATTCGAATTCAATGAATTTTTTCAACGTCATCTTGATGAAAGTACTCGACACACTGGGTACGAAATTAAATATGGAATGTGTATTTCATTAGTATCATGTACTTGTCGTCGTCAATTAACTGGATTCAAAGACAAACACTAATATCTTGAGTTCATACTACTGTAGTGACTCACATTTATCACGAGAACACGACTGGTTTAATAAAAACAATTATTATTATAACCAACTGTACCAGTGTTTGTTTTAACGTGCTTTTGTTTGACTGTGCTAATGACAGCTATTTTGTGCTTCCATTCTTATACTTACACTTTGATTGTAACTTCGCGCGAATTCGGTTACGTCCTGTAACCAAGCTTGTATCCTGGCACGATCTCGGTATCCTCTCGATGCCACGAGATCGCCAGCCAAATATAACTCGACTTGGTCCATTAATTGCCTTCTGGTATTTGGCTTCTCGGGGATTTTATGGATCTATTTGGTTACGTCCAACCCTCGCCTTCTGATTCGTTTGGCACGTGTTTCTTGGTAGCGGTGTTCATAGCTAATCTCGACTCGACGCCACGCTACACTACCGACACTAAAGTGGAAAGTTTGAATTCACTGAAATTTTAAACTTTTATTTTGGTGGCTGTGATTATCTGACACAGTATCTATGTACCTATCGACTACCCGCTTGTAAGATCCATTTTGAAGGTTTTATGTGTTGGTGAAAATCCCTCCATGTATATACTTGTACTTTATTCATATTGGTCACATTAGTTGTACATTGTTGTATTTTGATCACATTTGAATTATTAATATTTGCATTTTTGTTATAGTTTTTGTTTTTATTACGCATTCACTAAGTTTGTGTTTCTTCCTGAACTGCATCTGCGTTGTTTTACTTGACACTTGTTCTTGGCGGTAGCCATATTGATTTGTTCCTCTGGTTGTGTGTGATCTATCCAGCCAGGATAGAATAACGTTGATTTGGTGTGATTGGTAATTTTTCCTCATCTTCTATCAACTTCTTTATTTATTGTAATTTAGATTTAATTGATTGAACAATCATTGGTTGAATAGCCGGGTGATAATATTTGTTTAGGTAATGATTTACATTAAATTTATTATGAATTATAGAACCGCTAGTTACCCTATTACTTGTTCTGATTTCGCCGGAAAGGGCGCGTGTCTAAAATCCCCGTTCGGCTATTCTTCTACATCCAAACCGTAGTTTGGATCCCACACCGCTCCCTATACATCCTGAAGTTATTTCGGTTGAGTAAGCAGCCAAGTGACAAGAATATTTGAACAAATCACTGAACGCCAACGAAAGTTAAAGGTTTCTTTGTATTATACAGGGGTCACTGTTGGAAGTGGGGAGGTGGAAACTGAGCAATTCACCTGACCCTGACAACGTACACAAGAATTTCCTACAACAATTTGTAGGCGAATCGTTTTGACCACTTTCTTACATGTTCAGAGATCCGTGAACCACATAAGAGTTTGTAGTGACATACTTTTGTCAAGAGAACGCGATTGGTGTAATGGAAACAATTATTATTATAACCAGTTGTACCAGGGATTGTTTTACCGTACTTGTTTGTTCAACTGTACCAAAACACATACATTCTTCCGTTGATTGTGACCTTGCACGAATTCGGTTACGCTCAGTAACCACTCTTGTAACCTGGCACGATCTCTGTATAATTTCGATATCACGAGCTCACCAACAAATACATCTCGACTTCAGCCATCAACTGCCTTCTGATATTTGGCTTACAGCGGATGTTATCGGTTAACTGGCACGTAGTCTTCCTGTAATGGTGATCATAGTCAACCGCAACTCGACGCCACACAACAAGTTAGAAATGGCTTATCAGCTCTCCAATGCTCGAAGGTTTTAGGATCGAGTCGCATGCCACACAACGATAGTATTCTTTAAGTTGTCCAAATGTCCAATTAATGACCACCTGAAAGAGATCACTACTAGGGATATAATATTCAGGAATACTCAAGACGTGTCACGTGGCTCAAGCATCATTTAATGTGAGATTATGGAATGGACAGCAATATCGTAATGAATCATTTCATGAGCGAAATCTTAATTAGTCTGACATTTTTAACCCTGCATTGAGCTTTTCCACTCATAAATATGTAAAAAATGAGTTTCGTCTGCCTGCCTGAATTCTGGGCGTATTTCCACTACAACTATCCTTACGACGAATCGGAGACATATCTATTGTTGCTCGACTTACTTTTTGTCTTATTCTCTCCTTTCCAATGTTTCTTCGAAGGAAATTTTGTTTTAACCACCTCAGAACACAGTGAGCCTTCAGGAAAACCCTTATTAGTATACTAAAAAACCATGAAGATATTGGACATTGGGTTCTATCTGATCCACAATTAATTGGTTACGCAACCTTGCATCGTCAAGTCAGTATGTAGTGTGTACCGAATATATTTAAGTCTAAAAGATTTGTGTAAATATCCTTACTAATGCATCAGTATTCCTTGTGATTCTACCAAACACATGTTCACCCAGATAATTTCGTCTGAGGAGTCGGCTTGTGGAGATCGGTTTGACAAACTTATTTTTTAAATAAGTTTTGATATTATATGCATTCGTTTTGTTAATTTTCACAGTGTGTAGATTTAACACAAAATGATTGTACATGTTGATTAAGTGTATGACTTACTTTTAACACTTCAAAGTATAAAGTAGTCCATCTGCGATATGTCGCAGACTACATTTATAACTTAAGAAACTCCTCTCTAGTAGTATCCCAAGTCTAAAAAGATTTAGGAGTCCTGGTGCCCTATGATTTAAAGTCTTACGCTAACTGTGACAAAAATGCCTTCCGAGCAAACCTTGCACTGGTAAATTTGAAGTGCATTTTTGGACAGTTTGACGGAAGAACTTTCCACACAATCTTCAATAGTTTCATCCGTCCCCATTTAGAGGACGGAAACATAGTACTTCCCCATTTAATCCAAAAGGATAAGGACACTTTGGAGCGTATCCAACGGCGAGCCACGAAATCTTTTCGAGGACTCAAATTTAAACCTTACGAAGAGCGCCTCCATCCACTAGACTTTTACCCATTAGAGTATAGGCGTCTTAGAGGTGACCTATTAACGGCTTACAGTATCCTTAACACTCCTGGACATTCTCTCAAACACCTACTTAAGCTTATTTCCAACACTAACCTAAGTGTCAACACCCAGAAACTGGAGACACAATATAGCAGAACGGACTGTAGACACAACTTCTATTCTTTAGGAGTTGTCGAATGCTGGAATTCGCTGCCGGACGAGCTAGTCCAAGCGAATTCCCAGGAGTCCTTTAAGAGGCAACTTGACCTATTCTTAAGGACCAATGAAAGCATCATACTATGAGTTACCGATTTCTTTTTCTTCTTTTATTGTTAACATACCTAGGTTCCTGCCTAGAGGATTCGGTGATCCCCTGCTACTAGACACGGAAGCCTGTTAAGCGAAAGCTTCTATTCCATCCACAACCATTTGAACCATTTGAACATTTATGACCTTGAGCACACTTTCTTCTATTGTGTTACACTACTATACACAGACCTATTGTTCTCTATAGCTCGTGGTTGTGGTAACTGAACTCTAAATCGTCTACTGTTCTTATTTATAGACCACAGCCACATTTACGTTATATTCTACGGTTGGCTGTATAGCTGGAAGCACAGTAATCTTACTGGAATTATTAATCATTTATAATTGGTGGTTCTGGTACCAAACTCAATCTAAACACGCACAAGCCAGCTGAATTAAGTAAATTCCCTAATTTTTATTGCATTTATAACGTATAACTGATATATTTTGACATTACTGTTCGTACACAATAACTTTATCACTATCTTTGAGTTCGTATGTTGTTTGGTCCACCACAATTATCTGGTGAGCCTCGAGTTTATTCTAATTGTTATATTACTTTTTTTACTTTGCACATTGGTTTATTTTCCAAATTATGTATTCTCCAACAAACGTATTGACATGAAATGTCCTCCAGTAAATACCCTTAACTTATTATCAAATCCTGTCGACAAGATTTTAAGTTCAGTTAATGCTATTTCGGAATTCAGACTACCAGCACGCAAAGTACAAACTGCCAGTAAAAGGATGCGTGCAACACATTCAGCTTCCAACAACAGTTTTCACAGCCGACAAGGTAGTTGGCATCGTTGCAGGCCACCATTGCAACGATACATTCCAGACCAACTAGATCCTCGTCTAAAAAAGGCCATTTTCGGACAGCGCCTTTGGTTACCTGAGCAGACAACTGGAATTTGTTGGTATCATCAGAAATATGGTGCAAAAGCATGTCGCAGCACACAACCGTGTACCTTCCCAACATAAAGCGAGCGACTCAGGGAAACGGGCCGGCCAGACAGTGATCGCAGAGACTGTTTCTGGCCACACGGCAAGTCGTTTTTTTCATATCAGGGATCGTATTTCAGGCTCACACTTAGTCGATACAGGAGCTGAAATTAGTGTAATCCCATTAGAGCTCTCACGACGGCGACACACCACATATAGCAATGTGTCACTGCAAGCGGCCAACAAAACAATTATCAAAACCTACGGATAGCAGTCTTTAATCTTAGACCTCTTTTTTATTTAGCTTCAGCAAATCTGTTGAGGGTTGTAATTTTTCTGCGCAATTGGGTAGGAAACGTCGATAATAATTGCACATTCCAAGGAATCGGCGTAATGATTTTACTGAATTTGGCTCAGGATAGTTGGTGATAGCGTCTACTTTTTCCCGTAGTGGTTTAATGTCTTGTGAGTCGATGTAATGTCCTAGAAACTCTAAAGCCGGGACACCGAATATGCACTTACAAGGGTTAATTACAACGCCATGCTTTTTGAAACGGTCGAAGAGAATCTGTAAACGTGCTCTTCAATTGATGAGCTAGCAATTAAAACATCATCGATATAGGCGAGTACAAAGTCTAAACCTCTGATAATCTCGTCCATAAATCGTTGGAAAGTATGAGCTGCATTTTTTTAGTCCGAATGGCATTCTTAAGAACTCAAACAAACCAAAAGGTGCAATAATGGCTGTTTTTTTTAATATCTTCTGGTGCTATCGGAATTTGATGGTATACTCTTACAAAATCAAGTTTCGAGAAAACATGCTTTCCATGTAGGTTTAGTGAAAAGTCGTGTAGGTGTGGGATTGGGTATCTGTCTGGGATGGTTTGATTATTTAAGTGTCGGTAATCTCCTCATGGGCGCCAGTCCTGATCTTTCTTGGGGACCATGTGTAACGGCAAAGCCCATGGGCTGCTAGAATGTCTGATGATACTGGGTTGTATCATATACTCAAATTCTCGCTTAGTGATCTGTAGCTTGTGTGGAGGTGGTCTCCTCGACTTAGCGCAGATGGGTGGACCGGTAATGTGATGTTGTACATGGTGTACGGTGCATTCCTTTTGATAATCTACTTTTGTGATGCATATTTCGACAAGATATCGGTGAAAAGTTTGCTCATATGTTTTATTATTCGTACACCATGGATTTCATAGTTAATAGTTATGCCGTTCACATGTAGACGTGTGTTGTTGTCGGCTAGTTGCTTTCCGTGCATGTCTACTAACAGGTTGTACGCGCTGAGGAAATCTGCACCGAGAATCGGCTATTTGACTTGTGCTACAATGAAGATCCACGTGAAGCGCCTTCTAAGTCCGAGGTCTAAGACGGTTTGCTTTGTTGGCCGCTTGCAGTGACACATTGCTATATGTGGTGTGTCGCCGTCGTGAGAGCTCTAATGGGATTACACTAATTTCAGCTCCTGTATCGACTAAGAAGTGTGAGCCTGAAATATGATCCCTGATATGAAAAAGATTGTTGTGCTCCCAGCTATATAGCCAATCGTAGAATATAACGTAAATGTGTCTGCGGTCTATAAATGTAGACAGTAGATGATTTAGAGTCCAGTTATCACAACCATGAGCAATAGAAAACAAGAGGTCTGTGTAAAGTAGTGTATTTGTTAGCAGATAACAGCGTGTTATGCTATGCGTGTATACGCGTATACAGCCTCTGCCAGGGAAGTCCTACTCACTGTCTTCTCGTGGCGGGGGCGTTGTTTACGAAAATGAGAGGACGAAAAGCGAATGTCCGGCGCTTTAACCGAATTCCAAACGAAACCAATGGTGCACATGGGCTCCAGTATCCTGCGGGAACAAACGGCGTATGAACCAATCGTTGGTCACCGGCTACCATGGGACTGCATCTCCTTACGATGCTCCACTGCCTTGTTGGTTAGACCTTTAGGTCAAAGGCTCGGGGAGTGACCTCCTAAGAAAACCACCTGGTTCGGTTTGGGAACCCGGGCAGTATCTCAGCCCGCACACAACAACATGATAAACTGTCTGCCTCTGAAAAATATTCCTCTCGCTCCAAATAACAATCAAGTGACTCGCATTATTATTATTATTATTATTATTATTATTATTTACTACGTCATTATTCACCCTCTTTTGTTCCTACACTGTCTATACTTATTTGTTCGACTTATACAGCGGCTTGTCTGTGGTTGAAATTCGACTGTATCTAAACGTTCTCGAGTCAATTGTATGTTACAACCGAATATGAGTACTGAAGCAGTTTTTCTGAAACCGTGTGCACCATTCAAACTGGCTACCTTCAAAGTTCGCACACTTATGCAGGTTGGACAACAGATAGGGCTGGCTATATCTTTAGAAAGTCCTAATATCGATGTTTGCTGTCTATCCGAGACCCGTATTCAAGACTCTGGTGAAGTATTACAAATTCGCTCTCCATCTGTCGCTTCGAAAAGCTTGTTTTACGTGCGCTTATCCGGGATGTCTGTGGCATCTTCGTCTGGTCTTGCTGGCGTTGGTGTCGCACTAAGCGCTAGAGCTGAGGCAGCACTAATCTATTGGATCCCCATTAACAGTCGGTTATGTGCTGTTAGATTAGAGAGTTCCATCAAAGTGAGAAGAAATCGGCGTGAGAAACGATGTCTTTTCGTCATCTCCGCCTATGCTCCGACAGATTGCAGCCCGGATGCAGTTATCTGTTCTTCTCCAGAAAGTGCGTTCGACAGATATTGTAGTACTAGCCAGAGACTTGAATGCTCAGGTCGGGCGTCTAGGCACAAAAAAGAGTCGTTTAGGTGGCCGATGGGGACTTGTTGCTCGCAGGACAGATATCAGGGACCGTCTACTGCAACTGTGCACAGACCACAACCTGTTTCTGGCTAGCACTAACTTTCGGCACAGTCATCGCCGATGTGCCACCTGGCGTCCTCCTTCTGCATCTCAAGCATGGACTCAGATTGACCACATCGCGACCAGCAACCGTTGACGTGGTTGTGTACAAGACTGCCGCTCCTTTTGGAGTACCTATCTGGACTCTGACCATGCTTTGGTCTGCGCCAATCTTACCTTACTTTTCAGTGGACAACGAACTGACCACCATCAACGGATTGATATTAGCAAGCTGGTTGCAATTGCATGACGCCATGAAAATGGCGGGAACAGTCAGTTGTGGGTTTGCGAAACGTCCCGTTTATGAGCACTGGGTTTTTCCAGGTTCCTTACAACTCATTGAAGCCCGTCGGTCTGCTCCAGGTGACCGTGAGTTTGACCACAAACGAAGAATGTTGGGCAAAGTTTGCGTAAGGACCGAGAAGCCTGGTGGTCGAAGTGTGCTAATGAGCTGGAAGCAGCAGCTGCATCTGGTAATCACCGGAAGCTCTTCCAACTCATCCGAGCCACTGGCTCAGAATAGAAGCCAGTGGCGATCCTGCTGTGACCTTCTTTTACTTTCTTCATAAAAAGTTGTTGTATCTTCCTTAACTGAAGGATTTCGTCTGATTGTACCTTTCCGTTCCCCCATTATTACTATTATTATTACTACACTACCTTACACCAATCTCTTCCTTATTGTTCTTTTTTTTACCCTCCTTACCTTTTTTTTTCTTTTTCCTTCTCTTTAAATTCTCATTGTTTTGTGTGGCACATATATATTTGGCGATTTGTTGTACAAATATGTATGTGTTCAAATAAATAAATAATAAATAAATACATGCGTGTAACACAGCAGAAGAAAGTGTGTTCAAGGTCATACACTTTAACAACATGTACAATCATTTTGTGATAAATGTACAGACTGTAAAAAATTAACAAAATGAATGCAAATAATATCAATAACTATTTACAAAATAGTTTTATCATGCCTATAATTAATATATTATAACATTACCGCTTGTACGCAATAACTTTATTACTATTTTTGAGTTCAAATATTGTTTAGGATTTATATCCTGCAACAGACACCATTTTATATTCAATGCCGTGGGAAACTAAGAATTTTATGACTTTGAGGGGAACCCTGGAATTTTCTTGAAATCAAGAGATTTGGCCGACGAGAGAAAACCACTTTGTCAGGAAATATTCTGGCGCACATATGTGGTAGCGGATATCCGCTACCATGAGTTTTGTCTCATTCTTCAAATCTGACATGCTTTCACATAAACCGTTTATGTGGAATCAGTAAGTTAATATACAAAGGGGGATTGTTCGCATATCATTTTACAAGATTGAATGGCTGATGTTTAGTTCTCTATATTTTCTGTTACTTTAGATTATTCTCATTCACTAGTACTTGGTTTTTATTCTTACCTAAATTATATATAAGCAGTAAATTACTAATACCAACTGTCAAAGTTTGACTTAAAAGCAAAAAATAAGCCCGTTATTATCAAGTCTAAAAATGTGTTTGTTATAGTTCCAATTGTTTCATCGTATACTTTGCATTTTATTTCGTATTTTTGTTGACTGAGCTGTTAACTTCACCCTTAATGTCATTGTTTACTGGATTGTGAACTTAAACCAATGTTTCTTTCGTAAATCCTTATCCAGTGTGGCGGAGAACTTTCGTTTCAACAGTCCTGTCACCTTGTACATAGTACATCTGGCCTTAGACATGGCGTGGACCATGGTTTGTGAATTCGATAAAAGCAATATTTTAAACATATAGAATCGAATAAATTCAGCCGTAAATAACAACTATAGTCGTTACTTGATACATTGCAAACGTTATTTAAAAGAAGTCTTAAGTTCAGGAGTACTGGGTGCTGAAGCAGCCTCACTTGATATAGTTGAAGTAAGCCGGCTTTTTATCTAAAACGTTTTAGTTTTGTCGGTGAACAAATGTGCTTTTTTCCACAAATGTGTTCTCTCTAACTACATATTCTTCTTCCCGTCTTGGACTTCAAAATGCATGCAATTGATTAGCAGTCCAATAATTTCAACGCTCAGTTTGGCAATCAGCTTTTGTGCTTAAACCTTTTTTACCTACTCACGGAACTTGGGACATTTGGGAACACCGATAGTTTTCAATAGACTTACAACTGATCGCGCGATGTTTCGCACGGTCGATGACTAATCCTACGGATCCTCAGTATCTATCACTACCGTTGTCGAAAATTTATGCCTACTGACTGAGATACTGTATATTTTGTAGCCGCTTTCTTACTAGATCACTTAAAGTTTATACCCCCTCAATTTAGTTTATTAACACCGATCACTAGTACCATGTTTCATATACCAACCAACTTAATAAGTAGTTGAAAGAAGCAAGACTATTAACTAGGGACGAATTTGGGGGTCGGTCGTGCCAGGGCATTTGAGAGTAATCCCCAAACATGTGGTCTAATGAATCGTAGATAGATAACAGATAGTTCTACAATTGTATGAGTTTCTGCTTAAACTGGTGTCTGTGTCGGTAAGCATAATGAATATAAGATAGTAGTATAGAGTGAATATTGGAAGTGACCAATTATGGGAAATATTACACCACCATTTTATTGATAGGATGTTCAGGATAAAATTGTATATACATTCGTTCATTTCTGCAGTTAAGAAGTAGTGACTCAGTAGTAATCATCTCACAGATAAGATTACGATTTGAGTCTTCGGAGAAATTCAGCGTATGAAAAACATAAATACAAGGCTCAAATTCTGTATTTAACAATAATCATAGTGTAATTAGGAGGAATGAATTGTGATAAAAATTTGGTTTTTTTAAATTAAGATGTTAGCGGGACATAGACTGGATTAAAGCATGCTCAATGCACGATTGCTTTGGTGCACACTGATTGGCTAATTCAATACTTAGTGAACACTCTAGAAATGCTCTCATATGAAAACCATAAATATACTAACGTTTTCCCTATTGTGCTTCTTACTTCCATCTAACCTTGTTATTTGGAATAAAATCTCTTTCCTGTTCAACCGTGTTCTGATTTGGGGACTTGTCGAGTTAATCGGTGTCCGACAATACTAAGCAATAGGAATAGCTGGGTTATAACCGTAAGAGAGAATTATAACATAAGATCATGAACCGATTGATGTTAAACCACCATTGGAAACCTGGATGGGCGTTTCATCCTATTGTAGGACTCCTCAGCGGTGTGCACCCACGACCCCGCCCGCGGGATTTGGACCCGGGGCCTTCAGTCTCGCGCGCGAACGCTTAACCTACTGGACCACTGAGCCGGCGTCCAATGATGTTAACGTCTAGCATCAATCGGTTCATGGTTTCAATCAAAAACTTAATCTCCACAACCCCTAAACTGAAAATTTTGGTTTCCCTGACTTGGGAAGTGATCTAAATTCGTTTATGTTCTAAATGATATTTAATCACTTTTACTTTTGCCCTCAGATTTTGCATACAGGTGTGGTATTTATTTCGGAAACTAGATTCTAAATAACTATCACCGGAAACTATAAGCCAAAAAAATTAATAATTCAGTCATTATATACTTAAAAGGTACAAGCTAGTTAAAGGCAACACAAATGTACTGTTATTATGAATAATTCAGAGGTATTGAGCAAGTATATACCCCCAAATGCCATGGTACGGTTGAGGATGGGGAGAGTCAGCTCTCATGCTGTCACATGACCACACGTATACAACCACTACTAGGGATGTCCTACTCACCGTCTTTTCACGAAGGGGGCGTTTTTTACGAAATTGAGAGAATGAAAAACGAATGTCCGTCGCTTTAACTGGGTTGGTGGACATGAATAGTCCACCTATTTACTTACTTACTTACCTAATTACGCTTGCTACTCCTCGTGAAGGAGCATAGGCCGCTCACCAGCATTCGCCATCCAACCCTGTCCTGGGCAATCCTTCTCAGCTCCTTCCAGTTGTTATTCATCCTTTCCATATCAGCTTTTATTTCCCGACGTAATGTGTTCTTTGGCCTTCCTCTTTTCCGCCTTCCTTCAGGATTCCAAGTTAGGGCTTGCCTTGTGATGCAGTTTGATGATTTGCGTAATGTATGTCCTATCCATTCCGATCGTCTTTTCCTGATTTCCTCTTCAACTGGAAGCTGGTTTGTTCTCTCCCAGAGAAGGCTGTTGCTGATGGTATCCGGCCAATTGGTGTTGAGTATCTTGCGTAGACAACCATTTATAAATATTTGTACCTTCGTGATGGTGGTTGCTGTGGTTCCCCAAGTTTCAGCTCTATACAGTAGAACTGCCTTAACGTTGGTACTGAAGATTCTGACTTTGATATTGGTTGAAAGTTGTTTTGAGTTCCATATGTTTTTCAATTGTAGGAATGCGACCCTTGCTTTGCCGATTCTCGCCTTTACGTCTTCCTATGAACCTCCTTGTTCATCGATGATGCTTCCCAGGTTTGTGAAGGATTCTACATCTTCCAGAGTTTCGCCGTCAAGAGTGATTGGATTGCTGTTCTCAGTGTTGTATTTGAGGACCTTGTTTTTCCCCTTGTGTATGTTGAGGCCTACTGATTCAGAGACTGCTGCTACACGAGTTGTCTTTATCTGCATCTGTTCGTGTGTATGCGATAGGAGTGCTAGGTCATCTGCGAAGTCCAAATCGTCTAATTGGTTCTGAGCTGTCCATTGTATGCCGCGTTTTCCCTCAAATGTCGAGGTCTCCATAATCCAGTCGACCACCAGAAGAAAAAAGAAGGGAGAGAGTAAACAGCCTTGTCTGACTCCGGTCCTTACTTGGAATGCGTCCATCAGCTGTCCTCCATGCACGACTTTGCACTGTAGTTCGTCATATGAGTTCCGGATAATGTTGACAATCTTCTCACGAACTCCGTAGTGTCGAAGAAGTTTCCATAACGTCCTCCTATCTACACTGTCAAATGCCTTTTTATAATCAATGAAGTTGATGTACAGTGACGAGTTCCACTCAGTTGATTGTTCGACGATGATCCGTAGTGTCGCAATTCGGTCTGTGCACGAATGATCCATACGGAATCCAGCTTGTTGATCTCGAAGTTGGGCGTCTACTGCATCTTTCATCCGGTTCAGCAACACTGTTAAAGACAGTAGTGTAATGCCTCTGTAGTCTTCACATTTGCTCAGATCTCCTTTCTTTGGAATCTTGATGAGGTGTCCTTCTTTTCAGTCCATCGGCACTTGTTCCTCCTTCCAAATCTTTTTGAACAGAAGGTGCTCATGGGCTCCAGGATCCTGAGGGAACAAATGTCGTATGAACCAATTTTTGGTCACCGGCTACCATGGGACTGAGTCTCCTGACGTTGCTTCACTACCTTGCGGATTAGACCTCGAGGTTAACTGCCCGGGAGTGGCCCCCTAAGGGAACCACCCGCTTCGGTTTGGGCACCCGGGAAGTATGACGACCCTCACAAAAATCAGTTGTAACTACGACTGGAAAAAATTTCACTTGCTTTAAAGCTCTCTCAAACAAATTTTATTCGCGATCATATGACAACATTCGCTTTTATTTCTTCTATACTACGTCATCTATGTATTCTCCTTTATTTTCATTTTGTGTATTTTATCTTCCAACTTATACAGCAGCTCGCCTATGGTGGAAACCCTGTCCAATCTGAAGGATTTCAAGTCACTTACTGGTCGAAATTCGAATGCTACCACCGACTATGAATACTGAAACAGTCCTTCTAAAACCACTTATACCATTCAAGCTGGCTTCCTATAACGTTTGCACACTAATTCAGATCAGAAAACAAGTGGGGTTGACTGTGTTTTTAGAAAGTCTCAATATCGATGTCTGTTTTCTATCCGGGACCCGTATTCAAGACTAGTGATGTACTACAAATTCGCTTTCCATCTGTCTCTTCGAAAAGCTTGTTTCATGTGCGTTTATCCGGGATATCTGTGGCAACTTCGTCCGATTTTGCTGGCATTAGTGTCTCAATTAGCACTAGTCGATTGGATCTACATTAACAGTCGGTTATGTGCTGTTAGATTAGAAAGTTCCATCAAAGTAAGACGAAATCGTCGTGAGAAATGATGTATTTTCGTCATCGCCTACTCTCTGACAGATTGCAGGATGAGTTTTGCCACCATTTAACTGTTCTACAGAAAATGCGTTCGAATGATATTGTAATGCTAGCTGGAGATTTGAATGCTCAGGTCGGGCGTCTAGGCACAAAAGAGAGTCGTTTAGGTGGCCGATGGGGACTTGTTGCTCGCAGGACAGATATCAGGGACCGTCTACTGCAACTGTGCACAGACCACAACCTGTTTCTGGCTAGCACTAACTTTCGGCACAGTCATCGCCGATGTGCCACCTGGCGTCCTCCTTCTGCATCTCAAGCATGGACTCAGATTGACCACATCGCGACCAGCAACCGTTGCCGTGGTTGTGTACAAGACTGCCGCCCCGTTTCGAATACTTATCTGAACTCTGATCATGCCCTTGTTTGCGCTCATCTTGCCTTACGTTTCAGTGGCTAACAAATTCATCAACCTAAACGGATCAGTATCAGTAAATTGGCTACAGCTTCTGTTATAACTAAATATCAAACCGAGCTAGGTTCAAGGCTAGCTATCATCCCACTGAAAAGTATAGATGAGCATTGAACGCCATAAAAATAGCTAGTAAAGTCGCTTGAGGCTTCTCGCTACATCCCGCTTATAAACACAGGGTTTCTACAATCTCGTTACGACTCGTTGAAGCCTGTCGGTCTACTCTGGGTGACCGCAAGTTCGACCACAGACGAAGACTGTTACGTAACAGAATTGGACAAAGCTTGCACAAGGACCCAGAAGCCTGGTAGTCGGGGCGTACCAACGAGTTAGAAGTAGCAGCTCAATCTGGAAACTTTGGAAGCTCTTTCAACTCATCCGAGTCATTGACAGCAAGAAGTCTGATGTGAGTGAAACAATCCTTAAAGATGACGGGATGCGAATCACTAACATCTATCGACGTTTTGAACGATGGGCAGAGTTTTTCGAGGAGCGATTCAACGGGTCTGCTGCCCTGGTGACATCGATCAGACTGTCATGCCTTTCATGGCCTGTGACGACTGGTCTATTTAATGAGGCGGAAGTCTGCGAGAAATTCCAACTCTTGAAGCGCTACAAATCACCGGGGCCAAATGACTTGCCTCCGACCCTTTTTAAAGATGATGGTGACTTTCTGGTTAGGGAACTGACAGAGTTGTTTACAAAGGTCTGAAAATTAGAGAGTGTTCTAACATCATGGAATGAGTCGATAGTTGTTCCTATCTTTAAAAGGGTTCACGTCGTTTCGACAACAACTATCGGGTAATAAGCTTACTCCCGTTTGCGTCCAAACTATTGGCTTCCGTCCAAAACCCGAGAAAGATTGACTCGCGAGGAGTAGGCTGGTTTTCGTTCTGATAGAGGATGTATTGATCATATCTTCACCCTCCGCCAAATGTTAGAACACCGTCATGCTTATCAAAGGCCAACAATCGTAGTGTTTCTTGACATCAGGGCTGCCTTCGATTCGTTGGACAGGACTGTTCTCTGGGATTGTCTACTGAAGGGTGTGCCTGAGTTTATTCACACCTTAAATGCCCTATATACAAACACCTCAGACAGAGTGAGGGCATACAACCACCTTTCTCCATTGTTCCATTCGAGCAGTGGTGTTAGGCAGGGTTGCCCAATCTCACCATTCCTCTTCAACTTTGCCATCGACGACATTCTGGGAACAGTTCTGATGGAGGTAAGTAATGGTGGTGTGGATCTGTTGCCCGGGGAAAGACTTCTCGACCTTGAGTATGCGGATGATATTGTCTTACTGTGCGATAATGCCCAAGCCATGCAATCTGCACTTAATCAGTTGGCAATCAATGTCCGTAGGTATGGTATGTGCTTTGCACCTCCGAAGTGCAAAGTACTTCTACAAGACTGACAGGATTCTAATCTTGTACTCACTCTGGATGGTGAAAAGATAGAAGTAGTTGAGAATTTCGTGTATCTAGGTAGCTGCATGAGTTCTGGTGGTGGCATGAGTGATGAGATCAATTCACGTATAGTGAAAGCCAGAACGGTTTATGCCAATCTGGGCCATCTTTGGTGCCTTCGTGATGTTAGTCTGGCTGTAAAAGGTCGGATTTAAAACGCGTCGGTGAGAGCAGTTTTGCTCTATGCTTGTGGAACCTGGCCTATCCGAGTTGAGGACGTTAGACAACTCTCTGTGTTCAATCATCGTTGTCTCCGAAGGATTGCTGACATCCAGTGGCAACGCCATGTTAGTAAAGCAGAGGTTCGGCATCGTGTGTTCGGGCACAGAGACGATAATGCAATTGGTGTCACCATCTTGAAACACCGACTTCGGTGGCTTGGACATGTTCTCCGAATGTCGTCTCAGAGAATTCCATGGGGTGCATTATTTGCCGACTCTGGGACTGGTTGGAAGAAGCGGAGAGGTGGTCAGTGCATGACATGGTGTCGTGGCATGAAAGAAAGCTGCAAAGGACTGGCTTGTGTTGGTCCTTCACGACTCCCTGGCTGGGGTCCGAGAGATGGTGCTACACAGTGGCTAGAGACGTTATCAGATATGGCTCAGAATAGAAGCCAGTGGCGATCTTGCTGTAACCTTCTTTTACTTTCTTCATCAACTTCTTTAATTGTACGAATTCTTCCTGGTTATATTCTTGCCAACTGAACTGTTTCTGTTATTATTATTATTATTATTTCACTCTTGTACACTAATTTCTGCCCGTTGTTGTTCATTTATTATACATACTCTATCTCTTCACAAACTCATTGCTTTTGAATGGCGCATATGTGTTTGGTGCTCCGTTGCACCAATGTTTATTTGTTTAAATAAGTAAATCACACGTTGACATTCTGTTCATCATTGTAATATCTAAAATGTATATAACAAACAGAAATATTCAAGAATCGCTGTTCTTTAAATCGATTCTTTCTATTTTCTATAAATTTCAGCTTATACCTGGAGATAAGTATGCTAAAATTGATGTCAACTGTAAACTACCAGTATATGATGGCTCCAACAAACCTTCAATAAAGCAAACACCCACCGCATTGGCATTTCATATTCAGCAGTATATGAATAGTGGAAGTAGTGAATTAAGGTAGTTTGCTAATTCTTATACTGAAAAATGCACTTGGCTACTTTTCCACAGATCACTTTTGCATAAGGGTTATCCAAAGATGAAGATTCCTGTTTTTCAGTTTTTTATAACTGAACAGACCTGTATAGTGAGTGTTTCTATTGTACGTGTTTTTTATTTTTATACCATAGACTTTTTTTCATGCACATTGCTTCAGCTCTTAAAGGTTCTGTATTGATCTAATAGATTGTTCAGTCTCACAATCTAAATATGTGTATAAACACCGGAACTAAACAGGATAAAATGATATAGTCCTTTGATATCCTTTCTGTGTAAGCAATCGAGGATATTAGCCGGTTGTGAAGATTAATCGACAAGAAGCCATAAACTTGGGTTTCTTGCTACTTCCCATTGGTCATAAAGATGTATCTTCAGGATGTTCAGTTATAATTAAGGTTGGTTGTTGCATTGCAATTGAATCGATAAGATTCACTTGGAACTAAGAAGTAAACAATCTAACATTGTAAGCAAAGATGGATGGTGCCTAGCAGTGGAATCCAGGACACATGTTTCGTCCTATATGGAACTCTTCAACTTGGTATACGTGCATTCCAAAGTTGACTCGAACGTAGTACCGTCCGCTTTGAACACCCCTACGTTATACACTTAGCTACTGAGTTCTGATAACCACTTGCTTGTGCAATAGGGTGAAGTTTCAATTCATTTTTGTATTGTTTGTTTGAGTCTTCTCATTGATGGGAAGGTCCAAACAAACATAAAAATGAATTAAATCCAACATTGGTTACGACTTAGTAATTAATTATTGCAACTAATAGAAAGCTGTTTAAATATTGTTATGAAGCCACAGATTATTTGTATATGTAATTTTCAACTATGGCTACAAAAGTAATTTCCAGTTTGAATCACACTACATTTTTTTCTAAAAATAAGGTCTTGTTTTTAGCTATACTGATAATATGTACTAACCGAGCTAATCTTTCATAGCATGATATGTAGTAATGATGGTCAGGATCTTCTAAATATTTATATACCAGCCAAACAGACCTTATCACACCATAAAATAGGGAATAACATTTGTAGAAAATCAAGCCAAAAAGTGGCTGTGAACGTGGGAGACGGTAATTAATAAACTGAATATAATTTAAGAATAATATATCGTATAATAATTATTCCTAGGTCAGAATGAAGCTTATAAGGGGAATATCGATATACATAATCTAGTTGCTGAACTGTTATACGATAGGAATATATATATTAGTCCATTAATAGTTCTCAGAAGTTACTCATAATTTAATCTTTGCTAGGACATAACAGTTCGTCATTCAGTTTTTTGAGCACATTGTTTCATATACCTTAGCTCCACTCCATATCTAAATGTTATCTATATATTTTCTAGAAATCGCATATTCATATACATTTTCAGAAATTTATCTTCTGTCAGGAGGTTCAATAATCGACTTAGGATCCACAGATGATATTCTTATTTGGTGACCATTGCGCGAACAATCCTTTGGTTCGAGGTGGGCTACTAGGCGAAAATAACAAACCGAATAGTATGGTTGATTACTTTTATCGACTTGTTACATATATTGAAATACCACCTAAGTTGGAAGAAAACCAGTAGAAGCAGCTAGAGGATGATGTGACATTAGTTCATGAAATCGCTGACCGTTCGATTGGCCTGTTGTGATAGATGTAAACTACCTGGTTGTGTTTTGTGCGACTGTAGTGGTAAATGGCTGAGACGTTGAGTTTTAGGATTCATAATCGATTCCAATGACGTGGATGCATTCACTCCCTATTTTACTCTAGATTTCAGGCTCCACCATCCCTTCATACAGACATTTTCATCCCGTTTTCTCGAACTATATTCCCAATATTATTCTTTTCATCATAGCTACTACATTATTTTAAGTCCTTTTCTATTCATATTGTTAGTTTTACTTCATCTTGGTGATGGTATGACATTGCGAATAGTTATTTTGTGTATCTGATTCTAGATTACTATTGGCGTTTTCATTTCATGCGTAATTTAGTGTCGAATAGTGCGATAAAAGATATAACAAGAATACTTAACAAAATAAATAACTGAATCGCAAAACCATATATTTTTAAAATGTTATCTTTCTGTCCATCAATATCCGTAGTCTTACCAATTAATCGGTGATCTGAAGTTGTAACATTTCACAAAATTAAATATACATCGGTCTTTTCTCTTACAAAATACTCTTTGTGGTAGTAAATTTATCCCATCTCTGTTTACATTGTTTTAAATATCCATAAAAGTCCTCAAAAGTAGCTAAGCTTCTCACTTATTATGTTCTTTTACATCTGGAAATAAAATGAATTCACAGAAAGCTAAGTGTATTGAGTTGGAAAAGTGATCTAACATGGTAATCGAACTATTGGATAAGGACTGTTGGACAATCACTGTAGAATATACAAGCAAATGGTCTCATATTTATTGGATAGGCCATCTCCTCACAGGGAAATCACAGTTTTCATCGATTATTTGCTAATTAATAATAAATCATCGAGGTCAGGTTGACTCCAGGCGATAGTATTTAAGTACATTGTGAATGGTCGCTTGCCTAGTCATTTCCATAACTAACGATTTAGCTGCCCAGTTCACGTATTTAATAGAAAGAGACTACTTATGTTTCTCACATGGTTAGCTACATATTAACCGTACAATTTACTTTTGTTAATTTATATTCCTCATTATCATTTAAAAAGTTACCTTGATTTTCTTCTGTGCATGCATTACTGAATTAGGTAAATGCTCCTTCAATTGATTCAGAACATTTACAGTCATCCAACGATGTAGTATGTACTGCTATTCCAGCGTCTATCAAACCTAATAATGTTTATGGATTGGAACGTGATAAACTTGTTAAAATAATTAATTCAAGATTGAAAGCGATAAGGAAGAAATCTCATACTTTAGAGCCAAGAAATTTAGTACGTTATTATCATTTGTATTTTCATTATTGTGTATTGACTGTATGCAAAAATTGGTCAGATGACAAAATCTCTCTGGTTTGCATAGATATCAAATAAGTGGAATTCTTATTGTCATATGATCACCAGTGACTAACTTCGAGAGGAAAGTTCCAAAGTTTTAGTGAGAATGGAGTTCAACCGTGTTGGGTGTAAGAGAGGTATCCATCACCAGGTAATGGGTGAAGGTTGTGCAATATCTTTAGTTGATTGAATCTAGACATTAACACCGCTGGATGTTGATTCAGTGGTCTAAAGGTTATTATTATTAATGGCGTTCTCGTGCAAGACCGATGGTCTTGGGTTCGAGTCCTTTGTGCGGAGTTGTGAGTGTCACTCTTGAAGAGCCCTATACCTGGACGGTATAGTGGTTCAGTGCTTCTAGGTTTTCAGTGGTGGTCTAACATTAATGGGTTCGCGATTTCAATGAAAACTCCTTGTTTTGTTGTACAGCTTGAATGAATTGAAATTCCTTACAATTTTCTAGACAGTTCGATCGTATTGTCATTCTTCACATAACAGGTATGCCTGATAGCTTAATCTATAAACTAAAATGATATTTTGAAATCATGCTATTTGTTACTTAATTATTCAAGACCGAGAGACGTAACCCCGGTAGTTGGGAAGATTCAAAAATAGTAATTTAAAAGAAAATGTCTCGTAAACATTGCTTAGTCATATTATTTTGGTATATGAATGATGTTGATATCTTCCTAGTATTCAACCTTTTGATCTAGTGCATACAAATAATATTTTGCCCTTGGAGGACTTAACTAACAAACATACAGTCCTTTAACAGTCTTCAAAAAAGCCACAAAACACCTAATGTTCATTTTGTAATTGAAAATTACAGTGATACTTGGAGAATTAAATGCTAAATTCGAAGAAGCAGATTCATCAGATGTGGTATGCTAATTGTCATTGAGAACAAATAGATCTTGATAATCCAGAAATGCTATGATCAATTTGTTATTCAGTAACATGCAACGTAGAATCCTGTGCATCTATGCAATGGTTCAAATCCCTGGATCACATCACCACAGATTGATGAAATTATTCAGATGAGTACCAGTGTAGTAGAAGTAGTAACTAGTATTGGTGATGGCAAAAAATCTCAGACATGGAGAATATGTGTCAAGAAAAAATGATCAAATTGTAACCCAATGGTTTAATCTCTATGCTTTCGACCAATAAATCATAGTTCTAAGTCCTATTCCACAATATTTATTATTCAAATCTGAATAAATAGACCTTTACTCAGTTGGTGGTGTACAATTCTAAATCTTAATACGTAATAACTGCAACTTAATTTATTGTTTGGAACAGGTTTATTTTACATTCTGGGATTGATTTGAACTGCTTACTTGTGATAATACTCAATATAAAGCATTAGTTTTTGTAACTTTATTGGATATTAGTAATAAATTGGTCCTAAGTTTAGGATTACATAGTTGGGGTTGTTTTACGTTTATTCAGTTAGTCTAGTGATGAGCAATACAGATAGATCTTAACCGTTTTGAAATCTCAACATCATTCCCACTATTAAGTAGATGACGAGCAATGGAATACAAGTTGACTTCTCAGTCTTAATTTTTGAGGAATATGCTCATTTATGCGAACGTTAACTTGCCTTTCTGTTCTCACAATCTATGTGCATCGGGATGTACTTGTAAATCGTTATGCACAATTGGAAATAACCTAAAGTGAGTATTTTCCCACTTTTAAGCGCTTCAACGAGCATTTTGTTCAACATATGAATGTAAACATGTGTATTAGCTCAAGTTAGCGCACCACATTAGTACTATGAGATGATTTTTTAAAGGGGAATGGCAATGAAATTGAAATAATGTAAAAGCAATAATTATGGGGAAGATTGAACTTTGATAATATAACAAAAGAAAAAAAAACGGTGAAAAGGTATATCTTCATTGTCGTGTTAATATATGTTCCCTCTGGTTCAAAGATATACTGGTCACCGTTTTAGGCCTTAAACTTGACCATAATGTGATATGAATAAATTACTATGGTAAATTTTATCTCATTTTAAATTAAATGACTCTAGTCAATCTACCTAATTACCTTAGTTTTAGGTTCACATTAATACGATCCTTTTGTAGCCAACTTATTCACAAAGCGTCTTATTATTTTACATCTTTCAGATATCTGATAATTATGAGGAGATAAATATCACTCCTGAATCCATTAAACAAGATCACACTTCCATCAGTGCATGGGCAAAATATTGGAAGGAGAGTCAAGATTGGCGAGCTATAGCTAAACGCGATAGAAGACTTCGTCATCAAAGTACAGGATTAGAATTTTTAACACATAATCAAAACAAGAGTAGTGACGCAGAAAATTGACATTTGACTAAACATTGTGTGAATAATACTTATTGAAATCTATTTCTTCGTATTGTTGTGCTTCTTTCAATAGAAAAAGGTTAATATTCTCTTTGTTTTAAACATGGGATATGTCGGGTGTTACTAATAGATTACTTCTAACAGTATTCGAAATCACCTTGTTCACGATCATATTACATCGGTACCTAGCTTCTTAATTAATCATCTCGTGTACTGAACATTCAAAAAATCATTTTGAAGATCCTTTTGTTTTCACTTGGTATTGTTTGGCTTGTATATTCCCATTGAGGTTTAAGACTGCAATTGATCAGTCTGTTATTGGCATATGCACAGTATGCACATATGCCAACAACAATAAACAATCTTAAACCTCAATGGGAAGATACAAGCCAAACAATACCAAGTGAATTTAAACTCACCCCATTACACAAGCAAGTGGCTATCAGAACTCAGTAGCTGAATGGATAACGCGATGGCGTTTGGAGCGAGTGGTACTGGGTTCGAGTCCCGCAGTGAACATGAACTCTGAGATGCAGGTACATCCAGCTGACGAGTCCCAAATAGGACGAGACGCGCGTCCTGGATTTTACTGCTAGCTACTATCCATCATTGCTTACAAAAATCCTTTTGTTTTATTCTCATTGTTTATTAATACTGACTAAACGTAGATCACACTCATCTGTTGGTCTTTTCCTACAGTCAGTTGTAATTATCTCAGTCTTACAGAAGGTCAGTCTCAATCCAGATGCCTAAGTGGTAAAGTCTAGGATTGCAGACTGGATAACAAGGGTTTCGAATCTCATTAGGTCTATCAATTTCCGTCATGATTATAAGTAGGTCTTCTGACGATTGGTAAGTAGTATGAAACCTATGTCTTGGACATCTTGTCAATTACTTCCGACTAATTAGGAAGTTTCTTTACTGTATGTATTTTGTCAAATAAACCAAATAATATCAGATAGGAGTTTCTTAGTTACTCTCTGTTTTGTAGGTTTCTATAAAGTCAGTTGAATATTATCAACAAGTTTTTAACTATAAAAATGATGGGTTCATCGAGGCTTTTATATAACTCGTAAAAATCAGTGCAAATAGTATCGTTTTTCAAGGATTAAAAAGAAGATTATAGAATATAGTATATCTTTTCGAAAATTAATCTTCACATCATGAAAAATTGGGGGGTTAGTATTTGTAAGCTTAGGTATTACTCAGTGATAACATTCAACTCATCTATCGCATAAGGATTAACGGCAGTATCTATCCACTCAAATCTCAACATGCTAGTTTTAGACTTGACCACAAATAAGTGGATCATATGTCTACTCTTTGAGGAAATTTGAAACTGAAGTATCTTTACCGATGCTCGACTGTGTTTGCATCCATTGATCCGAACGTAGTTTCCACCATGTCTGACTAGTTTTATGGTAGTTTGGTCCACTTTCTCCGAAATCAAAAGTTCTACAGTTATATCATTGTCTATCTAAATTTTCAGCAATTTCATCTCACTGATTAGTCATGGTTTATTAGTCTTGTACTATCCTTACTCTATGGGAATCGGATTTGATCGCTTTTAAACGGAACATGTGTGATTCAACTACGCAAAATCAATTTTCCACATCTGCTTGATAATCTATGGTCTGCATAGAAATCTAGTTAGTAGAGAAAACTATAAATTACCCACTTTGGGAAAATGAATGAGAATCACTCTGAATTTAAGGATAAGATTAGCAAAATAAAGTCGTTTTCAGTGATGATAATGTCCACGATATAATTAATTCTTTTCAGTCGTGTTTATGGTTGTTTTTTTGCGTGTAATGAACATGGCGTCATTGGCAGAGGTACTTAAAGTCAACCAGAATTCGAAGTCATGTAATAGTTGTATTGGCTACGGATGGAGTACTATTACCAAACGCAAATCCGAGCACTATCCAGGGTTGTTATTGAAAGATATGTGGAAACCCGTTATCAGCACAGCTGTTGAGTAACTGCTCATCTGTCTCTATGAAAATCCTCATTAAGAATTATTCACAAGGTTAAGCAAACTAATTCGAAGAGAAGCCGGACAAGGGACTTGTGCATTTCCGCGGCTTTGAGAGTTCACCATTTTAATTCGGATCTTTGTGCCTCGAAGCTGTATGTCTAATCTCTTAGGCTACCATAGCTTTAGCACCCCTTCAGATTTTGTCGGTTATTTTTTGACATATGCTTTTATGTGTTCTTCATCCTCCCATATTCTTAAAGTGTAAAAATATCCTCCAAATCCCTGTTGTATATGTCATTTCCACACGTGGTGATTCGTATTACCCTTTGACTATTACATAGCTTTAAGTCCTGACTGATTGCTGTTAGTGATACAACAACCCTCTATTTTCACTATGAACCATTGTATGTAGGGAAAATAACTAAGAATACAACTGTAAAGCTCTCTTCACCGAAACATCTTTGTTTTTAATAACGCCATTAGTTTCTCGTTATTTTTCATAGAATTTACTTTACTACTAGATTAATGAATAAGTAGCGCAGGAAACGAATCTAAACGTTTTGAAATATTAAGCAATATGAAAATCGTCTGTTCACTTCTTTATTATTTAATAAAAAAGACGTTTGATTAAGGTAAAGATAACAAATAAGTATACAAGATGACTGATTTCTTAAAAAATATATAAGTATATAAAAGGCACTTCTTCCATAGTTTTTTTAAAAACGAAATATATCAAACAAGCATTATGAAGTTTTCCTACATCACATTGTTAACAATTGAACGGTAGTTATGTACACATTCATCTTGTATTGTCCATATGATAAGACTATAATTTATGGACGGTGTTTAGGCGACGCTAAAGTGATCTTGAGAATAGCCGTCCACCAACTAGGACTGAATGACGGTTACAAATCAGTGCGAGGAATTAGATTTAGGGTTTTCATCACGAATTGACTTAAGCTAAAATGCTATTTTGCCAAGTGGATGAATGAATTTCGCTCCAAAATTCAATTACTGTTATCCTAAATCTGATTGATTCGTTCATAAATTATAGTCTTGCTTCCATTTTTTTTTCTGTTTGTTAATTCAACAAAATTTATGTACAATTTTCTGCCAGTTTAATAATGTGTATGAATTGTAATAAAAACGACAGGTGATTCGTCTTTTTTTCGATTATCTATTTACTTCTTCTTACGATAGAAATTTGTCAATGGTTTCGATGCTGCACGAGCTGCACGTTGTTGATATGATTGTTTTGATTCACGATTATATGAATCATATCCTTGTGTAAATGTATTTTGTGATTGTTGTTGTTGTACTAATCCATCGAATTGTATATTTCTTCCTCCTCCTCCTACATATGAATTATTTAATTGAACTTGTGATGGAAAATCTAATGCAGTCAATAATTCTGGTGGATTATTCGATTCTGTTGTTTGTTGGAACATTGAATGATTTGTTATTGGATTTTTAGTACGTTTTAATAGGTTTAAATCAGTTTTAGATAATTGATATGGTGCAACATTTAATAAATTTTCTAATAAATGCATTGAATATGTATACCAACGACGTTCAGTTTCACTTTCAAAATATGGTTCATTATATGGTGTTTTACGTATAAATTCTTCACAATTTTCAACAAAACTACGCACTAAACTTGTTGCATACAATCTCCATGTTGTTTTTTCTTCATGTAAATTATTTAATTTAGCTATAATTTCAGCTGGAATTTCATCATGTTGATTGTTATCATTCTGTTAAAGAGATAATAAGCAGTTTAATTATTCATGATTTATATTTTAATTATAAATTGATTTGAACAAGTAAATCATAAGCGAGTGAAGATGCCTATATGTATGCCATGGGATACATGGGCGAAAACGTATTTGCACCGGTATGCATATGGCATAAACTTGCCCCTGGTATGACGTCCGCCCTCCAAAACTCGGGGAGGGGGGTCTAACAATTTTCTCTCGCACTCACATCGTCGCGGTAGGTTTGTGAGCCTTGAAAAATGAATTCCAATTCCAAAAAAGGTACTCAAGCTTTATCAGATAAGGTTTGAGCAATATTAAATGACTGAAACACTAAAGTACACAAGATTTATTTTGTAATACACCATGTTCGAAGCATTGCTCACTTATGGTCAAAGTACTAAGTTAATAATAGAGGTTAGACTTAACGTTCCAATCAGATGTGATATCTCGATTAATAAGGGTACATACCTTCATATACTAAGGCGGTCAGGATATTTATTGTTTATATCTAACTACCATGCAATGCTTTTTGAAGTAGAAGTAAAAATGTTGGGGGCAGCTAATTCATAAGTTCGTTGACTGCTACTTTGAGCCAAATCAACTGATCTAAACTTTATGATTGGAACCTGCTTAAAACTCACGATTAATGATTGGCGACACCTGATGGCAAAGTGGGAAATCCCTCACAGTGCAGAAATTTCATTCATTTATTCTATCTTGCACTTAATCTTCAGTTCTTTCTTCTGTTTTATTTGTTCCTTTCAGGCTGCATCGCTTATTTGTACTGGTTGTCTGCATCTTCCCATTGGTGTTTAAGACTTCATTTGGTCAGTCTCTATTGGTATATGTGCACCTGTGTGGAACTTCTCGGTACTGCCATCAAAATGTAAGCACTTTCAAGCAGAAATGAATACTAACAAACAGTGGAATCCAGGATCTACATCTCGTTATGTCTAGGACTTGTCGACTAAATGTATCTGCATTTTGGAGTTGGTTTTCAGCCAGGGTCTCTAAAGCAGTATCTTTCACTTCAAACCCCATCACGTTATCCACCTTGCTACTGAGTCCAAATTGCACCATTTCTCAAACCAGTGACTATCTGGACTCAGTAGCCAAGTAGATAACGTGATAGAGTTTGACATGAAAGGTATTGCGTTCGAGTCTCTAGATTGAAAATCAACTCCAGGATGTTGGTATATACAGATGACGAGTCCTAAGCAGGACGAAACGCGCGTCTTATATTTCACTGCTAGCCACCATTCAACTCCATCTATAATGTATGGGTTACTCATATTAAAATAATCATTGCAGTTGGTGTTATTTCCTTTTCTTTGTTTCTCATCTTATTTGTCTCTTTTTAACTGCAATCATTTAAATTGCAATAACTTGCATCGGGAAACATTCATTTCACATCTTAGGTTGTTGATAACTGATTGACTTGTAACCTTATATGGTATTTCAATAGTATATTAATTAGATTAGAAAATCCAACGTAACCATTTTCAGTGAATGTTCATTATCCTAAAGGATCAATCAAATTTGAGATTGGAGCTCATGGCTTTATATGCAAAATACATAATTCATTGACGGATAGATCATTTTTGTATTAAAAGTCAAAGAGATATTATGAATATTTAATTAATAAATGTCTGCAATTAATAAATATAGGATGACTAAAGAGTATGGACCATGATAGATAGATTTTTAAATATAAATTAAGGGTTGTTGGTATTTAAAATCATAGGGATACATGCCTAAGCACATGTCTAAATGTGACACTCATCTACTCAATTTCTTTCCATTACTCATAATGTCTAATGTTATACTCTTATTTCTAAACTTAATCCTAACTGTGTTAATCTGAACCCGACTTTAAATTTTAACTCAAACTTCTAAGCCTGAATCCCGCCCCCTCCCTCAGAAAAAATTCTTACTTCATAAAGTTTTCAACTAAATTTTTAATCATTCAGAATTATTATCAGATGCTTTGTGGATATTATAGTAATTTTTATATGGCGAGGTCATAAGTCAATTGAAGCTAGACTACCATGAGAAACCTGGAAGTACTGGACGGCTGTCCAGAATTAATTAACCTTCATTTAATTAATTCTAATTATCATTAAAATAAATTCATTTCATTAGCTTTTCAATTATACTTATTATCCCATGTTTATATAATACAACTAACTCAGCCTGAAGCCCCTCTGGAACTACTGCCGGTCCCAAGTCCGGATAAAGGAGAAAGGTTGGGCATGGAGTTAGCGACCCCACCCCTTAGGAAACTAACTCGCTAAAAAAACGCTAACCAGAAAAAAATATATATATAATACAACTAACCTGTGAATTATTAAGGTTTTTTCCAACTACTTGTTCATTAGCTAATCGAGCAATAATTAAATCTTGTTGTTTTTTCTCTTCTTCTAATAATTTTTGTCTCTGTAATAATTCTTCATGTGTTTCTTCCCATTGTTTCTCTTTTTTTTCATAATTAATAATTTCATCATGAAGTTTTTTTATATCATTATTTATATCTGATTCTGACATCATTGTATTCCTTTGTAATAATTGACTATTACCTGTGAATGATTTATATTCTGTACTTAATATAGAATTACATTGATCAGTACCAGTTTTTAATTTATCTAATCTACTTATACTACTTGTATGATGATTATGATTATGATTATTATTATCTACTGTTAAATTAGGACTATGATAACTACCATTCAATTGTATTTCATCTAGTTGTTCGTTAAGAAAATTACATTCTTGTGTTTTTAAATCTAATGATTGTTTAGTTCGATCTAATTGCCAAGTGAGTGCATCAACTTCCGCTTCTAAACGTTCACATGCATTAATTAATATATTGACTTGTTCATCATGTGTTTGTGTATTATTTAGTAAAAACATACTTTTCATCTGTGTTAAAAAGAGAAAAAAGGAAAGAAAAATGAATACCAAAGAGGAAATTTATTTTTTATTTTATTTAAACATATAGATATTGGTGCAAGGAGGCACCAAATAGATATGCACCACATAAATATCATTCGATATGTGTGAGGACTGTGATACTTCCCCGGTGCCCAAACCGAAACAGGTAGTTTTCTTAGGGGGCCACTCCCCGAGCCTTCGACCCGAAGGTCTGATCCACAAGGTAGTGGAGCACCGTGAGGAGATGCAGTCCCATGGAAGCCGGTGACCAAGGAATTGGTTCATACGCCATTTGTTCCCGCAGGATACTGGAGCCCATGTGCACCATTGGTTTGGAATCCGGTTAAAGCACCGGACATTCGCTTTTCGTCGTCTCAATTTCATAAACAACACCCCCGCCACGAGAAGGCAATGAGTAGGACTTCCCTGGCAGAGGCTATATACGCGTGGTCATGTGAGAGCATTTCGAGAGGGAGAGCGGACTCTCTCCACTCTCGGCCGTACCAGGGCATTTGGGAGGAGGAGAAAGAATGAAATAAAATAAATAATGAAGTAAATTTATTATCATTTCAGTCAGTCATATATAATATAGAAATTGACATATATGCGGGTGTCGGTTCAACTTATCACATGACAACTGCACAAAAAATATAATAAAATTATCAGGGTAAATATCAATTATTTCATGGATTGATGCCATGTATTGATTTGTCCATCTTTACCTTTCTTCCAAGCTAATATTTACACTAGCACAGGTTGTACTTTGAAGTTGATGTTGCTTGGACATAAGTTAATGGATAAACGTCTCTGTTGATATAAGCAATGGCTCAGTGGTTGGTAAAATTAGGCATTTTAGTGATTAAGTCATAAGTTCAAACCAAACTCTATTTACTATAGTTCAACATTACCGCTTATCTTCAGATGAAAAACTTCACTCAAAACCGAGTAAATAAAAATTGTTTTATGTAAATAAGTCAAATCAATAACTATACATGAAAAATAATGACATGTCAGTACAGAAAACATTTCTATTTACTTAACATTGTACTCGTCAACAACTAACAGATAGCGACTGATTCAATTCATTGAATAGAAATGGTAGATATTATTTGACGACACGAATAATTGTTTGATAATGTTAAGAAATGATAGATTAATTCTTTTTACAATGACATAGTTCTCACGACATACATCATATTTATCTCATTACTGTGAATAATTTTTTAGTTGAAAGGCCTTCTGACATTAAGCGTGCTTGATTATACATTCATATATATCTTAGGAAGTATGTATAAGTGTAACATAATAGGCTACTGAAAGAAACAGTATTAGTCAGTCATGATCAACATAGAGCCTAGAACAAATAACTTTCCGCTTTTCAAAATATCAAGATGAAGCGAAACTAAGAAGAAGAATTGTGAAGAGATTGAAATAATGCAGTGACAATAAGTCTAAATACTGAGAATATATGGTCCGAAAAGGCAGAAATAAAAAGTATATATGAAGAAGCAGAGGAGGTCAATACGTAAGAACAAAAATAATATTGAATAGATCCGAGCTAATGTAACCAATTCCGAGGTTTGATGAATACATCGACTACATCCACCATTCTTGACCAAATACAAAAACTGAAATCATCTTGATTCATCTTTAAAAAATATTGTCTGTTAGCCCACATTCATTAAGCTCATTGACAACATACGATTGTAGATGTGTGGTGTGGGTTACTTATATCCACATAAGTAGTATATAACGGTGGTCAGGCATAGAATGTATTTCAGTAGAAGATCAATAAGGAAAGAACGGGAACGGAACGCAATCGGTATAAAAATACATAGACAATGAAATTTGAGACAATGGACTGATATTTGCAAAAGGAACAGTCAAGTTTGAGACGATAGATTGATATTTTGCAAATCAATTATTTACTATACGGTTCTCAGTTTTTAATGGGATGCTCTGTAATTTCGCGTCAAGTACATTCGGTTATCCCTACTCGTGTTCTTGCTTATTACAGACGTAATTTAATAGAACTAGTTTGAAATTACGCGTTTTAGGTTGTCAATCTGTTATTTATAAGCATACATTGAACATTGAATGTCTGGGGGCACAAATTTAAACAAACAATAAAAACAATGTATATATATATATATATATATATATATGTTTTACAATAATGAGTAACAATTTTTAATTACTTTAAATGCTTCAGCATCAGTTTGATATTGTGCAGCATATCGTCGAAATTCCGTTAATTGATTTTGTTGTTGATCAATAATAGTACGAGCTTCAATTAATGCTGTTTTCATTTCATTATTTTGTACTCGTGCATTTTCTAATTCTTCATGTAATTTAAATATATCATCTTCTGTCATCTGTTCATATTAAAAATAAAGAGATGAGAACAAAATAGAATTTTACAGTGTAACAAAAGTTAGATTTTCCGATGTTTCGTCACGCAGTATAAGTCACTTCTTCAAAGAATGTAACAAATGAATATTATGGTAAACAGAAGAATTGTTTATGTGATTTCAAAACAAACAGAGAAAAAGGTAATAAAAGAACATAGAATCAGTTGAATAATAATTTGAAAATAATCTTGAATTAACTAACACATAAGAAACTATGATTTTTTTTATATTTAATTAACTTAAAGTATGAAAGGATAAGTTTCAACTGGTATTTATAACTGTGATTTTATTCAAAGTAGACTTGTGAATGAATGGTAAACAATTGTTACATGTTTTGTTACATATAGAATATATCAATTATGTGTAATATTGTCTCAGTTTTCAAGTTTCTAACATGTTATGAATTAAGCAACGATTAGTTATCAATTTAACTTGTGAGTTACAGCAGACACATTTTTTCAAAGTTGAATTCATGAGTCGATCTAAACTAGACCACCATTAAGAACCTGGAGGCACTGAACGGACGTTCTGTTCTAATAGGTGACTCTTCAGAAGTATGCATCTATAGTCTGTACTCGGGACTTGAACCTAGGACCTTCGGTTTTACGCGCGAATGCCTAACCTCTAAACCACTGAGTTAACACGAGATATTGTTAATGTTTAACTTCAGTCGACCCATGACCTCGCGTAACCCTTCATCCATTACTTGAGGTGAATAACCGTCTCATACACGGGACAGACGGTCTTGGGTTCATGAGCGGACCGTGGATGAACACTGCCGAGGAGTCACATACTAGGAAAAAACGGCTGTCCAGTGATTCCAGGTTTTCAATGGTGTTCTAGCTTAGATCGACTTGTGAATTCAACAAATCCCCATACTGACATTTTTTTTAAAGAATATAAAACATAAGTAGAATATGGTGAAATACGACTCATTGACTCAATTGGAATTTTCTATGAAGTAAAAAAGAACGTAAATGACTTCATTAAACCAAAGAATTTAGAGTTATAGATACGATGTACCAACGACTGAGGTACAAATGTGCAAATACTTCAATACATATTAATTCAACATTTTATATAAAGTTCTCAAGATACGTAATTATTTTTGGGGTATGATCCGTACTATAAATTAATAGATTATGAATGATATATTCCTACTAAAACTTTACGGCTCAGCAATTAACATTGCGACAATTAACTGAATTAAAGGATAGTAAATTACAGTTTTTTGGAAGCAATGAAGATGGAATTTTACTTCAAGAAACTGTTAAAGAAGGTCTTTTGAAAAGATCAACTGAACGTTCAAATGTAAAAGAATTACCATTGAGACTTTTGCGATTGGAAATAAGGAATTCAATCACTGAATCAAAAGTTATTTATTGATATCAGCAAATAATTACAACTTTTTCAAACAACCTAATTACAATGATGCATAAATACATTTGCCTTTATAATGGTGAATAGAACTAATCACTTCTCCATCGATAGGTCCAGCTAGTCTTGAACAATCATCAGATTCTAGGTTTCGTGTTAGGTGACATAAGAAATCACTTGAATCCTGGAAGTAATTGTAATCATGTCTTTGACTGATACTAAATGAGATAGGTTCAAATATATCATGATGTACCAAATCCCTCAATACTATTGGCATACCATATTGACAAGTGCTAGCTAACACAAAACCAAAGTTTAGAGCTTCCCATTGGTCGTCTTAAACCTTCTAACTATACCGTTTTCAAGAGGTCAATCCACAGAAAACAGATCAACTAGTCAACTTAAATGAAAAGTCATTAAATAGGTTGTAGTGACAGCAATGTAAACAAATTTATTTTCTACCGAATTTCTTCCAGTTTTTCTTTCTTTTGGTGTTTAGTTAATACCTCGACTGAGTGTTAACATAATTACCTGAATTTTTTATTGTTGAAAATCACGACCTAACAACAATTAATAAGTTGAAATTATCAATTCAGGTGACACACCCTAATTTAATTCAATATACATACAGTAACCTAAGTAAATAAATTGAAAATTACCATAATAAGAATTTAATAAATCCCATTATGTTAAGCATAATAGAAAATAGAGTGAATGTTTATCTATCTCAACGATTACAATGTTTAAATTCACTTGGTATTGTTTACTTAAATGTTCCTATTGATGTTTAAGACTGCAATTGATCAGTCTCTTACTGGCATATTTGCATACTGTGTGTATTGCCTCGATATTATCTTAATTCACAGGTATTATAAGCAAAGATGGATAGTGTCTAACAGTGGAATTCAAGACGCTCATTTCGTTCTACTTGGTACTCGTCAGCCAGATGTACCTGCATCTCAGAGACTGATCAATTGCAGTCCTAAACATCAATGGGAAGATACAAGCCAAACAATATCAAGTGAATTTAGACTTCAACCCACTGCACAAGCAAGTGGCTATCAGAACTCAGTAGCTGAGTGGATAACGCGATGGCGTTTGGAGCGAGTGGTACTGGGTTCGAGTCCCGTAGTGAACATGAACTCTGAGATGCAGGTACATCCAGCTGACGAGTCCCAAATAGGACGAGACGCGCGTCCTGGATTCCACTGTTAGTCACTATCCATCCTTGCTTATAATGATTAAAATGTTTATTGAGATTCTTTTTTATTATACAACTAACATAATCGAAAGATAAGCAGTTAAAGAATACAAAATACTATTTTCATAATAACAATAATTTCAGATACCAAAATGAAACTTAAACTGATTTGTTGTGGAAATTATTTTTATTCAATGTCAAAGTTAGAGACGTCACCATTTAGATATTAGGTTTAGGTTTAAGATTTCTTATCCACTGGCTTCAGTTAGCCATCACTACATCAATCATGTTATTATTCAATTGTTAGATGTCCAATAAATAAGAAGAGATCAAACTAACAAAAAACAACTATAACAAGTAATATAAAACCTAGACAGTTTGAATTGTTCTACCATTAACCTACCCTTAAGTCAGTATTATTAAATAAAGATTTTAGTTACTAGGTTTATAAATAAAAATAACTATGACCTTTGTGATGAATTACTGAATTTATTAGATAATTAGGTCAAGTTGCTGTGATTCACACAGAAACGAAACTCAACTAATTAGTTACATAAGTATTTATATGATTAACACTTAAATGTATGCGGGATTGTGTTGGTCAAATTTGAAAAACAAATCAAACAGTTTTGTATGAATATAAATCAATGATATGTCTATCATAATGCATTGATGATTATTCTGATAGTTAAGCTTAAAATGAAAAGAAACTATTGAGAATATGACGTCGATTCTCGATCGTTCCTTCCATAGAGGTTATTGAATGTTATATATTGTGGATCATTTCAATGTTGTTAATTCATTTCAGTATAAAAAAAGATAAGAGGAAGTTCAGTATACAACATTGTTGCTTTTAAAAAAAATTAATTAAATGTAGCAAATATTGTCATTGCCGTATATGACATAGCTCATTGGTTTTCACATGATTGTAGGTACGTCTTGTTGATAAGTGTCAACTAACGTTAGACTAGTCTTATAATACTTGTTAGGGCGAGACTCTAATTTAGGGACGAGCCAATCAGAAGCGTTTGAGCAATTTCAATTATCTGCCTATCAGAAGACAGTATAAAGTAAAAATATATTACAAGAAAGCAATGAATTACAGTGGATATTCTTCTTTTACATGATTAAAAAACTTGTTAAGATTTGATGAAGGCTCAGAAGTCCTGAATTCATAATGCATATGGTATAGAAACTCGTGCATAGGGTTAGAGTTAGGGTTAAGGTTAGGGTTTAGGTTTAGGGTTAGGTTAGGGTTTAGGGTTATGGTTAGGATCAGGCTGCTAACATGAGATCGGTTTACATCGAATTTTAGAGAAGAGATGTTTATTGAGAGGCGAGATCGGTTTATAACGGATTTTAGAGGTTAGGGTTAGGTTTGTAGCCTAGGGTTAGGGTTAGGGTTGTAGCCTCTCAATAAACACCTCTTCTCTAAAATCCGATGTAAACCGATTTCATGTTAGCAGCCTGACCCTAACCCTAAACCCTAACCCTAACCTAACCCTAAACACTAACCCTATGGACGAGTTTCTATACCATATGCATTATGAATTCAGAACCTCTGAACCTTTGTCAAACCTTAACAAGTTTTTATATCATGTAGAAGAAGAATATCCACTGTAATTCATGACTTGCAATATATTTTCACTTTATACTAACTGTCTTCTGATTGGCTAGTAACTGTCAAAGTCATTTAAGATTCGTTCAAAGGTCGTCCCTAAATTAGAGTCTCGCCCTTGTTAGCTACTTCTAGCCACTATATTATTAAAACATAGTACAAGCAATGTTAGGTCACGTTAACATCTGATTGATAGAATTCAGACTAGACAAACAAGACATTGGCCATTACTTCACAGTGATTAATAATTGAAAATATGTATACTACAGAAGATTCTGAGTTGGAAATGATGAAGTGACAAATGCTTTACATACACTCATTTTCACATCGTTTATTGTAGCTCTATGAATTTGTCTCATTTAATAAAAATAAGAATGTTATCCAAATATTCCTTTTCTTATAAGTTGATTTTTAATTGAAGTATATGATACACAATCAAAATTTACTCCATAGAGAATACTTTATACATGCACATATCAGTCAGTCAGTCAGCTACAACGTAGGACCAGGTACATATGTGCATCGGTCCAGGTTGCCATACCTCATTAGCACAACAAGATGAACACCGGATTCATAGGAGTGGTTAGGTCAAAGGTTGCAATAAGGATATAGTATAGGAAGGAAGAATTAGTTCGTAGAAAGAAAGTTATGAAGTGATTTTAATCTCTTAGTTTAAGGGAAGACAAAGAGTGTATACACCGACGCCATTGTGATCGATTCTGAGCCATGTCACCAAGAGTCTCCAACCATTGGTTACGAAAGTCACGC